CATTGGAACTGGGGGTCGATACATAGTAACTTTTACCCTAGGACGGAAACGTAGAAAATAAAAAGTAGAAAAAAGTAGAAAAGTAGAAAAAATTTCACATAAAGTTATATGATTGACCCCAGGAAGTCAATAATGATATAAAACCTATAAAACCTATAAAATTATAAAACTGTTTCATCAATCATGTTTCATAATTTTTATAGCTAATGAAATTATTTTATTGGTACAGTATTATAAGTTTCACATGAACTTACGATCATGTATGATTTTGCGGGATCATGTAACTCTCTCAAACGTGAAAACGTGAACTTTTTCGCCATGTACCTTGGTGGCGGAAAGGCGGAAATCTAGGGAATTAATAAATATGCTTCAGAATTAGAGAAGATTAGGGCTGCGTAAGTGTCGGTCCACAATAGGTGATTTAAGCTTTAAAAAGTAAGAAATTGACCAATTAGTCGATTATTCTTTTCATATTCGATTATAATTGGTCAATTTCTTACGGCTTAAAAATTAAATACTTATTGTGGACCGACACTTAGGATTAAGTGTACGTAGTACATATACAATTGATTATTAAAAGATGTATATAATACTGTACCAATAAAATAATTTTCATTAGCTATAAAAATTATGAAACATGATTGATGAAACATAGTTTTATAGATTTTATAGGTTTTATAGGTTTTATATCATTATTGACTTCCTGGGGGTCAATCATGTAACTTTATGTGAAATTTTTCACTTTTCACTTTTTCACTTTTTATTTTTCATTTTTCACACCTTGACATTTCACGTGAAACTTTTCACATATGGCGATTATATATGTAGCTTGGATGCGTGGAAAGTGAAATCATGAAACATAGTTTTCATAGGTTTTATAGCTAATGAAAATTATTTTTCATAGGTTTTATAGCTCATGAAAATTATTTTATTGGTACAGTATTATATACATCTTTTAATAACCAATTGTATATGTACTACATACACTTAATTCTGAAAGATATCTATTAGATTCGGAAAAAATTAACGGAGACCGACTGGATTTGAACTCGGGATCCCTCGTCTACCAATCCGACACTTAGTCTGCACGACCACGACGGCTCCTCTCTGTTAGCTGTTTATATTCCGAATCTCTTTCATGACCGCTTACGGTCGTCTAATTCTTACAGTTCGGCCATTCTGGTATTACATTCGTCCCGAATGTACCGAGTCTTCCTCTATCGGACTTTTTATCCGAAACTTGGAGCTTCTGCTCCCGACCTCGATCACTTTCTTGAACGATCGACACGACTCCTTTGGAGTACTACACTCCGCGACTTTTTTTTCTCCTTTCATTTCTCTTGAACGACCGACACGACATTGGAGTACTACTCCACGACTTTTTCCGTTCACTCCTGAACGATCGACTTGTCAGGTAACATAGGCTGAATCTTCTCTGAGGTAACATAGGCTGAATCCCACTTCTGAGATTGAAAGATATCTATTAGATTCGGAAAAAATTAACGGAGACCGACTGGATTTGAACTCGGGATCCCTCGTCTACCAATCCGACACTTAGTCTGCACGACCACGACGGCTCCTCTCTGTTAGCTGTTTATATTCCGAATCTCTTTCATGACCGCTTACGGTCGTCTAATTCTTACAATTCTAACAGCCTTAATCTTCTGTAATTCCGAAACATATTTATTAATTCCCTAGATTTCCGCTTTTCCGCCACTAAGGTACATGGCGAAAAAGTTCACATGAAAAATTTCATATTTTCACGTTTGAGAGAGTTACATGATCCCGCAAAATTGTACATGATCGTAAGTTCACGTGAAATTTTTCACTTTTTACGTTTCCGCTTTAGTCAGTCCACAATAAGTATTTAATCTTTAAGAAATTGACCAAACATAGTCGATTATTCTTTTCATATTCGATTATAATTGATCAATTTTTTACTTTTTAAAGCTTAAATCACCTATTATGGACCGACACTTAGAGGAAAAGTTATATGATCGACCTCCTAGTGAGGACAGCACATAGGATGAATTCTCACTGAGTGCGTCACGCGCTTTGAGTATATAGACATGGAGAGGGAATATTGGCACCAAAAGTGTGTCCAAAGTATGTGCGAGAGAGAAAGATATACGAGTGATACTCGTCCTTTCTGCGCATGCAAAATTGACAGATACTATAGGCAAGCAATATATAGTGTGATGTAAAGAACAATAGGTGACAAGAGCTGTCATAAATGATATTGTATAGGGATGTAATAGTGAAATAAATATTAATACATTAAATAAATATTAATATATACTATTAACACAAGAAAATAATTTTTATTGATTATTTTTATTGAATTTATTTTGTTTAAAATAAATCAATTTTGTAAACTTACATCTAATATAATTTTTGTGTATTGAATCGGTAGCGCACTTAGCCTCGTGGAATAAACACAAATTAACGTAAATTACAATTATGCTTTTAATAAGTTGCGTTTTATGATGCCAAACACATCTTGTTGCAAAATGTGTTCTGTCAATGCGCTGTTATTAAACTCTGTATGACAAACATCGTTAAACACTTTCATAGTCACAATTGTTTTAATATTTTTTCTAGTGCAAATTATATTATAATTTGATCGAATAATTGCTTCAGAGCATTGTGTTATTTTTATGACATCCAAAGGAAAAATTAAATTATCTTTGTTTTTGACAGTAATCAAAATTGAATATTAATGAGATGATTCTCGATATTAAATACGATGTAATAAAAGGGCAATGAGAATCAGCGCTGTTTATGGTGCGCAATTTACATTCTTTATTACAGTTTAAAAATATATAACATACGTTTCGACTCTAATTTGAGTCATCCTCAGTGTATACAAAAAATAAAGATACAAATACCGTGTTCATCTGACGTGTTCACTAACGTTAATTTCGCTAATTCGAATTATTATGATCGCACCGTCATGTCATCCTTAAAGAGATAGGACAGTTTTTAAGGATTGTCAATAATCGGATAGACACGGTTCACACAAACCGAACAAAGCACGCGCAGGAATGCGGCGCGGTTCGCACCGAGCAGCACACCAACAACACATCCACATGCCTAGAGCTTCAGGCATGACTGAACGTGGTGACTGAACGTGGTGACTCTACAAGTCAACAACTTGTCAACAAAACAAAGCCGGATTACAGTCTGCTCAAGACAGAAACGTTTGCGTGATGCAAGAATTCAGTATCAGATTGTGAATTCAAACAATTATTCTGTCTTTCAATAAAAAGCATCTCTGAGATCAGCCGTTTCTGCAAATTACGTTCTACAATCTAATACTTTTATACCGTTCTAAATCAAAATCAAAATCATGATCACAATTCAATCTATGTTCGGTAATGACTAAATGTGTGTTCGTGTTCCTACGTATATGACTCTGGTGTTCATGCAGTCTTGTTTTTAATCTCATTGTTTGTCCGACGTAGCACGCATCGCAGTTGCCGCAGCAGATCTTGTACACTACATTCCTTTTGGAACGCTGGTAGAGCATTCTTATGAACCCTGATCATGCCTCTCAATTTGTTCAAACTAAAGTACACGGGTTTTGCGTTAAAATCATCGACAATTTTTTTGAGTTTAGTCAATTTCCAGAACAAAGGGTAAAATGAACCATTTTGTTCCTTGTGATTGCGCTGTTGCATTCTTGATTTATTTTCTTGCCTAAATAACATTTTTAATCTCGAATGGATATTATCAAAGATAAAGTTGAGAGGGAAATCATTCAATAACAGAGTCTTAATCACTAAATTCAAGTTTTTTTGGTGGTTTCGGGTGGGACAATAAGAACGCTCTATCAACGAGTCCAGCAATAGTGCCTCTTTTTTGGGCGAGAGGGTGCTGGAAATGAAAATTGAGGTACCTTCTCGAGAATGTGGATTTATGAAACCAATCAATCTCGATGTTCTTATTAACAACTTTTAAGGTCAAATCGAGAAAATTCAATTCGCTCCTCCCCACCTCAGCAGTGAATTGCAACTAAGAGTGGTACGACTTGAATCTTCCAAGCATCTCATCAATCAATCGAGAAGGAATGGCTATTGCAATGTCATCAACATATCTATAGAAAAAAGGCAAATGCGCTCTAACATCTTCAAGTACGCTCCAAATTTCTTAATACTAAATCGGCTATGATCGGAAATAATGGGGAATCCATGAGTGTTCCAAAGGTTTGCTTGTAGATTACATTGTCAAACATAAAAAAGATAGAATTGTAAGAATTAGACGACCGTAAGCGGTCATGAA